AAATGGCATGACGGAGCGCTTCAACCGTACTCTTGGAAGTATGCTGTCGATGTACGTCGCCTCTGATCATTCAAATTGGGACCAAGTTCTCCCGTTCGTCACCTACGCGTATAATACTGCCGTACAAGCTACTACTGGGTTTTCGCCATACTTTCTTTTGTACGGACGAGAACCTTCAAATACAGTAGACACTATTCTTCCATATGAACCTTATGAGTCCGAAAGTACAACTCTGTCCGAAGCTGCCCGACATGCTGAAGAATGCCGCCAGCTTGCCCGCTCTTTTTCTACCGAGGACCAGTGGCAGCAGCAATCCCGCCAGACTGGGGACCGTTCGGCTCCGAACTTTCCACCTGGTTCATTAGTATGGCTTCGGGCACCTGCTACCGCGCCTGGCCGCTCCACAAAACTTCTTCCCAAATACATCGGGCCATACCGCGTTGTAGAGCAAACGTCACTCGTCAACTATATCGCGGAGCCCATCATCCCATCCACAGACCTACGCTACCGCGGCCGCGACACTGTCCACGTCTCTCGTCTCAAGCCATATTACGACCCATTAGTCGTTTCTTCTCCCTAATCCGCCAGGATGGCGTCTTTTTGTGCGGAGGGCGATTGTAGTGAAGAAGAGGAGCTTCAGCGGCATTTCTCGGCGCATCAGAGGCATCGCCATCAGCATAAGCTCGTGCTTGCTGCGCTTGGCCGGACGCTGCTGACTGCTTCGCTTTCTGCGTTCTGCGCTGCAAATAAACCCCGTTACAATATATATATATAAATAATCCTATACGTATATATAGGATGTTTAGCGTCCCAAAACCACCATATGATTATGAGAGACGCCGTAGTGGAGGGCTCCGGAAATTTGAACCTCCTGGGGTTCTTTAACGTGAACCCAAATCTCAGCACATGGGCCTACAACATTTCCTTCTCCATCGGAAATGAGGCGATGATGTCGAAGACTGAATCAAGAACTACGACGTCATCAGCAATTGAAACAGGTTGGACAATCCACAGAAGTTGGGCAGCGTCATATTTTACTTTTCCGTTGTTGCGAAAGCTTGGTTCTGGAACCACCACCCGGATCTTCCTGACTGAGAAACTTTCGAGCAGCAAATTTGTCAAATACTTGGTGCCCCTACAGTTCGCACTGAGGCTGCAAAGAAGAAGCTCGCTGAACGCACGCACCTGCCGGGTGTCCTTGACCTCTTGATTGAGGATGTCCTTGAACTATGCAAGCGCATTAACAGCGGCATGTCTCAGAACGACCAAGTACGCCACATTATTAAAGGCATTAACTCCGTCGCCTTTAACGCCCTCGCCACGCAAAATCCTGCCACCACCCAGAACGTGATAACGATCTGTCAGTGACTTGACGAGCTTCAGTCTCTTCGCCTCTGCTACGATGCCACCAACATTCGTTTCCCTGCACCCCTCGACTTGCGTGCTCTTATTCGCGACATCGTTCGTGAAGAGCTTCACGGGCGCTGCTCTTCCTGCGCTGCCGAAGTTACTATTCCTTCTGAAAAAGATAGCTTCCGAGACCTGATTTAACAAGAGATCACGTCCGCATCACGTCCGACGTGTTCCAATGGTCCCTGCGTGCGCCTGACACACACGTACGCCGAAAGTTGCCGCGCTCTCTGCCGCACCCCCCGTTTCTGTGCCTACACCAGCAGACCATACGCCTGCGGCTTCGTTGTCACCGCCAGTGCGTGCACCGCCTTACGATGCAAGTCAGCGCCCACCTCGAACAATGTGTTACTACTGCGGCTATCGAGAACATATCGCTCGGTTTTGTCGAAGGCGCCAACAAGACGAGCAACGTGGCTACGCTCCTGAAGAACATTGAAGCTTCCGTCCGACCATGAACTACCTACGACCTACCTCCCGATTGTCCTATTACCGTTCACCGTCTCCTACCTACCATACTGACATGCCTGTGAATTGCCGTACGTCTCGCCGCAGGTCATCTTCGCCAGGTCGCCGTTCAGTGTCACCTCGTGGCCCGCCTCCCATTCCACGAATGCCCTCGCGGAAAGCTCCCCAATGCAGTTTTAGGAGAGGAAAATGCATCCACCCGACAGCTAACAATTCTTCCAGAGCAGCCATTGAATTTGATGGTAGTGTTTGTAGAAGGTGTAGGCGTTGAAGCTCTTGTAAACATTGGCACTGCCGTTTCGATTATTCGTGCTGATTTGTGATCCCCTTCAAAAAGTCACCTCGCCTTTTCGCGGCCCACGTCCCCGGGCGGTGACCAACGCTCTCATTCGTCCACTTGCACAGTGTACCATTCATGTCTGCATCGAAGGCATTCGTCATCACATCGTTTTCGGGATATTTCGTGAGTGCACCCACGCTCTCATTCTGGGGTGGGATTTCTTGTCTTCTGCGTCCGCTTTCATATCTTGTCATCAGCGCCTCCTGCATCTGAATGCCACTGACTCTTCTCCGCTCTGACACGATGAACGCATCCGCCTTGTCACGACGTCGGATTATGAACTTCGGCCATACAATGAAGCAATTATAATTGTTAATTGCGCCGACATTGTGAATGGTGACTTACTAATTCTCCCTTACGGCCATACCCTACGTAGGGGCATTGTGATCCCACCAGGGCTTATTCGCTTCTTCGATGGGACTATCTACCTAGCCGCCACAAATCAAATATCCGAGTGTGTACTGCTCCCCTGTGGCTCAACAGTATCTTGCGCGGTCTGCAGTGAGCCTGTTGCTATTGTTACTCTTCCGAATAACAACCACAACGATGTACGAAAGTCACAATCACTGCCATTCAATGCCTCTTCCACACCTGTTTCGGGAACCATAAGCACTGACTCAACAACTGATCAAACTGAAGATTTGCTCACTCTGTTGAATAGACACCGTTCTCTATTTGACTTGAAGTCGCCCGTCCTCAGGATGACTACCACAGCTACTCACAGCATCCAGACTGACGGCTCTCGTATTGCGCAACGGCGTCCATATCGCGTGTTTCAAGCAGAACGCAAGATCACCTAGAAAAACGTCTCAGACGTGCTACGACACAACATCATACGTCCTTCCTCGAGTCCCTGGACATCCCCAGATGTACTCCTTCAAAAGAAAGACGGGACAGTGCGTTTCTGCGTCAATTACCATGCGCTAAACAAAATAACACGCAAGGATGTTTATCCTCCCTCTCGTATCGACGATGCACTGAATTTAAGACAGGGCGCCGAGTATTTTTCTAGCCTCGACCTTAGGTCAGGCTACTGGCAGATACCAACGTCGAAGTCTGATGAAGAGAAGACCGCCTTTTCAACGCCAGATGGGTTGTACGAGTTTATGGGCTGCCTCTCGGACTCTGTATTCAGCCCGCCACCTTCGAACGCATGATAGACGGCGTATTGCGTCGTTTGAAATAGAAAACGTGTCTGTGCTTTTTCGATGACATAGTAGTGTTTTCATCCACGTTCTCGCAGCATCTACAACGTCTTGACGAAGTCCTCACATGCCTTGCAAAAGACGGTCTACAGCTTAACACCAAGAAATGTACCTTTGCTATCAAGACAATCAAGGTTCTCGGCCACCTCGTCAGCAAAGAAAAAATTCGGCCGTACACCGTGAAGCTTGCCGCTGTCCTCAATTTTCAGTAGGGTTGAGAGCTGGGCTAGTTGGTGAGACATCATTTAACCATATGGTGTAGTAGCGCAAATACGACGGGGACGAAGAGGACAAAAAAACACGACACTTGCTACTCGAGTGTCGTGTTTTCTTGTCCTCTTCGTCCCCGTCGAATCTGTGCTACTACACCATATGGTTAAATGATCCTCAATTTTCCTCGTCTACTACGTGGAAAGGACTATGCAGCTTCCTTGGGTTATCTTCTTACTTCCGGCGCTTCATACGTGGGTTCGCGGAACTTGCGGCACGCCCCATCAACTCCTCGCAGGAATGTCCCCTTCATTTGGTCCGAAGACTGCGAAAGTGCTTTCACAGCATTGAAGCAAGCCCTCACGTCGAATCCGGCGCTGTGCCACTTCGATTGCACCGCACCCGCCATTCCTCACACCGATGCAAGTAGTCATGGTCTAGGTGCGGTACTCTTGCAGCGTGACAAAAAGTCACGCGAACGCGTCATTGCTTACGCAAGTCGCACTCTTACCGCTCCAGAAAAGAACTACACTATCACCGAGCAGAAGTTCCTTGCTGTTGTTTGGGAAGTGCAAAGATTCCGACCATATCTTCACGGCCGGCATTTTACCATCGTTACCGACCATAACGCCCTATGTGGCTTTCATCGCTGAAAAACATATCGGGTCACTTCGGTGGCTGGACGCTTCGCTTGCGGGAGGATGATTTTGATGTCGCCTACAGACTTGGGAAGAAGCATCAAGATGTTGATGCTATATCGCGCTGTCTTTTGCCCAGCGGAAGCCACTCACCATCGATACTCCAAAACGACAGCACCTCTCCAATCGCAGCGTTAAATTCATCACCTGCCATCCTATCCGTCCTTTTTTCAAAACAATGTGTTGACCCATACTGCCGCACCATTGTTGACCGCTTGACCGGCTTTACTACACCTCCAAACACCACACTCCGTCAACAACTTAAACAATTTAGGCTTGTCGATGGTGCTTTATACCGCTACATTTACCACATCGATGGGAACAAGTGGGTACCCATCATTCGACGTTCTCTGAAGCGTAAAGTTCTGGAGGCCTTTAGTGATGATCCAACCGCTGCTCATCTAGGCTATCACAATACTTACGACAAAATACCAATTCGTTGTTTTTGGCCTGGCCTCTCTTCACCCGTCGCTAAGTACGTTGCCTCATGTGTTCGTTGCGAACGGCGAAAACGACCAACAACTGCTCCGGCTGGCTTAATGCAACCTATTCCTCAACCCGCCTCACCCTTTGAAGTCGTTGGAATCAACTTGTCTAGCCCTTTTCTTATATCATCTAATGGGAATCGCTGGATTGGCACGGCCGTCGACCACCTTACCCGATACGCAGAAAGTGCTTCTATACCATCTGGGCTGACTGTGACCTTCGAAGGTGCTTTCAGAGACGGGAATTGCCCGACGGCTGGTTACTAGGTAATTTCTTTTGAAAAATATACTTGCGAAAAAACAGGAAAGCATTTCCTGTGCTTGCCTCCTGGACTTCTTTTAAAATGTTTTAATAGTAACCGTTTGCAGTGTTCTCACACAAGGGTGTTAATTGTACTCTCGTTATCAAGTATACAAGACAAGGACAAATGTTTATGCAGTGATTGCTCTAATTTAATTTAATATGAACAGGAATGGCAAACTTTAGTATTTGAAACTTTACGGTTCCTGTTGTCCTTCGCTGTGCTTGCAAGCCCGTCTCTCTCTCTCTCTCTCTCTATATATATATATATATATATATATATATATATATATATATATATATATATATATATATATATATATATTGCCGCGTGCATAGCTGCATTTAGCGGCGAGATAGAAACGACAACGAAGCAGGCGCTTTTGCTCGAGAGGCGCAGCGCAGGCAAATGAAGAAGACGACAATCCTAGCGGCCTTCTCTGAGAGCGTCTCTATAAGTTCCACTGTCCGTGTTTTTAAATAAACCCCCTGTAATTTAAAACCGCGACACTGGTGGAGGAGCTGGGTACTACCACCTCATGGTCAGCACCCCTGTGAGAAGCCCCGAGTCCAGCCCTACGAGACAGCCACGCGTGGAGACGCCGGTGCACCACTCAAGCCGTCGCCTTCAAGGTCTTCAGCCGGAATTAGGCCTTTTAAAGGGAGCAACACTTTCGACAGCCACCCCTACTCAAGAAATGGCAAGGAGTCCTGCACAGGTGACGGTTCAGAATATGCGCATTCCTGAACCATTTCACGGCCGGCCGAACGAAGATACGCAAGACTGGCTTGAGCAGTTTGAAGGGGTAGCTAAATCGAACTACTGGAGCCTCGAGGGGAAGCTCTTCCACGTATACTTCGCCCTTGAAGACGGCGCGAAGACGTGGTTTATAAACCGGGAGGCAACATTGACGACATGGGAGGAGTTTTGTCGTCGGTTTTTTGACACCTTCGGTAACGCGGACCGACGCGAAAACGCACAACGCCTTCTTGAAGGACGCACCCAACAGCTGCATGAAAGCGTCGCCATGTTTGCTGAGGATATGGTGCGTCTGTGCCACCGCGCGGACCCCAACATGCCCGAGGCTCGAAAGCTAAGCCATCTCATGAGGGGCGTCAAAGAGCAGCTATTTGTTGGTCTTGTGCGCAATCCACCGACAACAGTGGGCGAGTTCACCAGAGAGGCCACCGCAATAGAGCGTGCGCTGCAGCAACGGTACCGACAGTCTGATCGCCTGGCCACCGGCGCAGCTGCAGGCGCCGCCGCACTTACCGCAAACGACGAATTTTCTCTACGCCAGCTGATTAGACAGATCGTGCGTAAGGAGATCGCGAAGGAGAACGCAAAATACACATTGCAGTCACAGGCACCCCCGCAGCAGGAGTCCATGGTAGCCTCCGTCGCTGAAGTCGTTCGCCATGAACTTCGACAAGCGTTTGCCTCTCCTCAGCAGTATTCCGCTCCAGCGCACCGTCCGAACTCGTGCACCAATGCAGACGCTGTGCATCGTCCATTGGCTCCAGAAGTATCCTACCAGCCGAACGGATACAGCTATGCAGACGCTGTTCGTCGACCCACGCCCATGCCAGCACCACAGTACATCGAGCCGTATCCTGTGGCAGCCTGGGCTCAGCAAGATTCTGTCAGGCGACCCTATATGCGGAAGACTGACATATGGCGCACTGCGGATCGCCGACCACTCTGCTATAAGTGTGGAGAGCCAGGGCACATTTACCGTTTTTGCCCACATCGCCGAGCTGAATACCGCGGTAGTGCACCTGCAGCTACGCGCCGACAGTTTGACGAAAGCCATGCCCACATCGACGACGACCAGGCTGGCAGGCGGGAAGGCTCTTCTACCTTCCGGACGCGCTCACCATCCCTGGCTCGCTTTGGTTCACCAAGCCGCCGTAGTTTTGCCGACGCCGTCAGAGATCGGTCTCCCAGCCCACGGCGAGGAAACTGAAAGCAGCGACCTCTGGGGGGAAGGTTGCAAGCCGTCGAATTGCCGAAAATCCCCCACTGCTGCCGAAACACGTGAGAGATGACGATAAAGACTCCGCCGAGAAAACTGTGACTGCTGACCTCGCTGTGACGATCGACGGCGTTGAAGTAACAGCCTTAGTCGATACGGGTGCAGACTTCTCCATAATGAGTGAACGATTGGCAGACGACCTTAAGAAAGTCAGGATGGAATGGACGGGCCCATATATCCGAAATGCTGGAGGCCAGATAATGACTCCCACCGGAAATTGTACAGCAAGACTCACAATTGAGAATGCAGCTTTTGTAGCCACATTTCTGATCCTACCGGAGTGCTGCAAACCTATGATACTGGGAATGGACTTCTTAAGAGAGTATGGTGCTGTGGTTAACATACACGATGGTGTGATCACATTCGCCGCTGACAAGTCTGTGACCCAAGATCCAGACCAAGAACCCAGGGTGTTACGTGTGGTTGACGACGACGTCTGCGTGCCACCACTGTCTTGTAGTCTTGTTTCTGTGTGTTGTGACGTGGACTGTAATGAAGACGCCATAGCCGAACGCATCACTGCCCTTCTTTTTCGCCAAGGCATCGCCACCGCTCGCGGCATCGTCAGCTTAGTGGATGGGCGCGCAGAGGTGCTTCTGACCAACTTCACGAATGAGCGCCGGCACATCGGTAAAGGCACGGCTGTGGCGTACCTAGAAGAGCTCGACTACTCTCACGACTGTCTTCTAATGCAAGGGGAAGTCACAGCTCAATCACCTCCACATACACCACTAGTTGATATCGGTCCGAGTCTAACACCGACTGAAAGATGCCGTCTTATGGAGCTGCTCGACGAGTTCAAGGACTGCTTCTCATCGACATCACGAGTGGGTCGAATGCCTCTGACTAAGCATCGCATCATTACGGAAGACACAGCAAGACCGATCCGACAGAACCCATATCGCGTTGCTCAGAAAGAACGTGAGGTAATCCAGCAGCAAGTCAAGAAGATGCTAGAGGATGATATAATCCAACCATCGAAGAGTCCTTGGGCATCGCCAGTGGTTCTCGTGAAAAAGAAAGATGGCAGCTTGCGTTTCTGCATCGATTATCGTAAGCTGAACCATGTTACAAAAAGAGACGTTTATCCATTACCACGGATTGATGACTCTTTGTACAGGCTACGGCATGCGCGCTACTTCTCGTCAATGGACCTTAAAAGTGGATACTGGCAAATAGAAGTAGATGAGCGCGACCGAGAAAAGATCGCATTCGTGACGCCAGACGGGCTTTATGAATTCAAAGTCCTCCCTTTCGGTCTATGCTCAGCCCCAGCCACGTTTCAGAGACTAATGGATACCATTCTGTCCGGCCTCAAATGGAAAACATGCCTTGTGTACCTCGACGACGTGATCGTTTTTTCGGCCACGTTTGAAGAGCATCTAAAGCGGCTACTGTCAGTTCTTCAAGCCATACGGTCCGCTGGACTCACGCTCAAACCGGAAAAAATGCCACTTCGGCTTCGAAGAACTCCAGTTCCTGGGACACGTAATCAGTCGCGAAGGTGTGAAGCCTGACCCAGATAAAACGGCAGCCGTAGCAAAGTTCGCAAGGCCTGTTGATAAGAAAGCGGTCAGGCGTTTTCTGGGTCTCTGCGCCTACTACCGGCGATTTATAGCAGGATTTGCACACATCGCCTCTCCACTCACCCGCCTTACAAGGGAACACATTGCATTTGTATGGGGTGAAGAGCAAGAAGCTTCGTTCAACGAGCTGCGACAGCGTCTACAAACTCCACCTGTCCTCGCTCACTTCGACGAGAATGCACCAACAGCCATCCATACAGACGCCAGCAATGTGGGCCTAGGTGCTGTTCTCGTCCAATGCCAAGATGGTATGGAGAGAGTGGTCGCCTACGCTAGCAGAACGTTGACACGCGCCGAGTCTAACTACTCAACAACGGAGAAGGAGTGTCTGGCCGTCGTCTGGGCAGTTGCGAAGTTCCGCCCGTACTTATATGGCCGCGCCTTCCAAGTCGTAAGCGACCATCATTCTCTTTGTTGGTTGACCAACATGAAAGACACATCTGGACGTTTAGCACGATGGAGCTTACGGCTCCAAGAGTACGACATGGCCGTAGTTTATAAGTCCGGAAGGCAACACTTAGACGCCGACTGTTTGTCAAGGTCTCCGATTGAATCACCGGCTGTAGAGGATGATGATTTCCCAGGTTTTTTAGGAGTTGTCGATGCAGCTATCATTTCTCAGCAACAACAAGATGATCGGGAGCTCAACTTCAACTCGCTCATAGAATTCTTGAACGGACGGGCCGCCAATGCACCAAGAGTGTTTTCGAAGAACTTATCGTCATTTTGTTTACGGGACGGAATTCTGTACAAAAAGAACTTTTCATCAACAGGTAGAAGCTATCTGCTGGTAATTCCTGGAGCTCTCCGCAGCGAAATATTACAAGCCTGCCATGACGAAGCCACTGCGGGCCACCTCGGTTTCACAAGAACACTGACACGCATCAAAGAAAAATATTACTGGCCAAGAATCGCAGCAGAGGTTAAAAATTACGTACGAACATGCATTGATTGTCAGCGGCGCAAGGTACCACCTGTCAAACCCGCTGGGCTATTACATCCTGTGCCCGTGCCAGAAACGCCGTTTTCTCAAATCGGAATGGATCTGCTGGGCCCATTCCCAACATCGGACAGCGGCAACAAATGGGTTATAGTAGCGACGGACTACCTCACCCGATACGCGGAGACCAAGGCAATCGCGAGTGGCACTGCAGCTGAAGCGGCCCAGTTCTTCATTGAGAACATTGTCCTGAGACATGGTGCTCCAGCTGTCGTCATAACAGACAAAGGCACCGCGTTTACAGCCGAGCTTTTTCGCACTGTGCTTACGCTCAGTGGCACAGCGCATAGGAAGAGGACTGCTTACCACCCACAAACAAATGGGCTCACAGAACGACTTAACAGGACAATCGCTGACATGCTTTGCATGTACGTCGACGTGGAACACAAGAATTGGGACCGAATATTGCCGTATATCACATTCGCGTATAATACGGCGCGCCAGGAAACAACAAAAATGACGCCGTTCGCGCTAATTCATGGCAGAGAAGTTACGACAATGCTTGACGCCATGCTGCCTTACGATTGCAATGATTCAGAGACAGACGCTGCAGACTTCACTGAGCGCACCGAGGAAGCAAGGCAGCTTGCCCGCGTCAGAATATTGAACCAGCAGAAACTTGACGCCCAACGGTACAACCTTCGCCATCGATTCGTCATATATCAACCAGGAGATAGAGTCTGGGTTTGGTTTCCTGTACGACGAAGAGGCCTCTCAGAGAAACTCCTACGCCGATACTTCGGACCCTACAAGGTTTTGCGCCGTCTTAGCGACGTGACTTACGAAGTTGTGCCCGATGCCTCCTCCTGTTCGAAACGTCGCCAGCATCTGCCTGAGACAGTGCACGTGGTCCGCATGAAACTTTACCACTCTCAGTGATGTAAACACTCGCTGGCTGCATCTCTACCTGTTGAGCATCGGGACGACGCTCACTCTGGCGGGAGGGTAATGCCGCGTGCATAGCTGCATTTAGCGGCGAGATAGCAACGACAACGAAGCAGGCGGTTTTGCTCAAGAGGCGCAGCGCAGGCAAATGAAGAAGACGACAATCCTAGCGGTCTTCTCTGAGAGCGTCTCTATAAGTTCCACTGTCCGTGTTTTTAAATAAACCCCCTGTAATTTACAACCCGCGACAATATATAATGTGTGTACACATATATATAGTATACAAGTACGATATGTATACAAATAGAAAAGTAGATGCGCTTTCATATAGCAACTGTATATTCAGCCGGCATTTAGACGCGTTGAAACGTTGGCTCAATAAACAGCTATGTGAAAGCACATCTACTTTCATACTTGTAATCTTGTGGCAATCGAAGTTAATTCTTCTGCATGTGCATATATATATATATATGTATATATATATATATATATATATATATATATATATATATATATATATATATATATATATATATATATATATATATATATATATATATATATATATATATATATATATATATATGTGTGTGTGTGTGTGTATGGGTGTGTGTGTGTGTATGGGTGTGTTTGTTTGTGGGGGTGTGCACATACATATGTACATTTTGCTGTTTGCCACTGTTTTGAAGTCAGTTTCAATTCAAACCTGATGCCACTAAAATGAAGTAATACTGCAATTTGCCCGTGTTTCATAATTCTGCGAACAATTTCCTTTGGCATTTTCGCACCGTACATGTTTTCAGGCTATATGTGATATCTTTAGGTTTTTGTTTATTTCGGCTTTGTGACATGAGTACACCCTTGCTCCTCTGTTAAGGTGACTGTGGGTATGCTTTAGAGCCATGGCTGCTCACCCCTGTAAGGTCTCCAATTGGCCCTGCCGAGGAGCAGTACAACTCGGCCCACACTCGGACGAGGCAAGTCATTGAGAGGACCTTCAAGGTTCTAAAGGGACGCTTCAGGTGCCTGCACCAGTCCGGGGGTGCTCTACAGTACAATCCGCTGATGTGCACCAAAATAGTGGTGGCATGCACCATGCTGCACAACATGTGTGTCCGACATGGCATTGACTTCAGCTTTACTGATGGTAAGTGATTGCTGTGGCTGTAGTAGCTTCATTAACATGTTTTGCAGAACAGCTGCTTGGGTAGAAGAAATATTGAGACAACAGCTGCTCTAGCAATTGCCAACTGCCGTGCTGTTCGAGAAAGTGATCTTGCTCAAGCTTGAAAGATGTGCAGAAGTAGATATTTCATTCCTTATAATGAAAAGTTCACTGTCGGCGTGGCCAGCTCCTACTTCACAGCTTGGTTCTTTCAGAAAACATCGAGCTTGCTCTAACTACCGGACATGGTTTGCCACTTCCTCTGTGTAAATGTTTTGAAGTTTCTACATACCTGTACTCTAAAAACAAATGCTGCGATTAATAGTACCTTTAGATAATAGTGAAGGTTTGGAGAAGAATGGTTGTACTGCACATGCATAGTAAATTCAAACGAGAGTGTGGCTGCTAAAACGCGTAGCACAGGAACAGCGGTTCCATGTATCATAGCTTTTTTATACAAGTTTCTTTAGCCTTGTCAGTACGTCAGTGTTGCTCCAAGGGGGAGGGAACTTCACACATTTTTCCTGTCCTGGTAGTCGCACTGCATTGCGAGCCACATAGTGGAAGACCGTGTACAGTGTGATGTTGATGCATCCTAAATGATTGCTGGATGGTAGATTTATCCTGAGCGATGCACTATGGTATATCGCATGTTGATATATCTGTCTTGAGATCTTAAACCTTAAATATTATTATGATTAGATTATTATTATTTTATATCACATTTATAAAAAGGCAAAATTACCAGATGTGACAGTTCCCTATTTTCACTGAAACATGTTCCTATGAGCAGATTATTTTTTATATACTGTTTCCTGTATAAAGCATTGTGATTTTTCACCAAACTCAGGCACACCACTGTGAGCTCCACAATTTTTTAGCTTTGCTAAAAGTATGCAGTTTGAAATCTTTTGTAGGAGGAAATCTTTGTAATGTTTATTAGGCTAAGCAAAATGGTGTCGGTGTGCTTAATCCATGCTGACAATTACTGCCATAACTTAGTCTGTGAAGGTTGCATTAGTAAATGCATCATTAAAGTATGCGCAGAAAACATGCTCGTTTTTTTCGGCACAAAGCTTCTGGAGCACATTAAAGTATGATATTAAGACACTAGTTAGAAGACAATGTGCAAGGTTTTGCTTCACAACAAACATGTGTTGCAGTTATGTATAAAATCTGTTAACAGTAATTGTGTTGAGCCGACCAACAAACTTGTCTTTGTCGAAGTTCTGTTCTATCCTTGAGGAAGAGGAGTGAACTTGTGAAATATTAGGTTTGACAGAAACCTCATTTACAGATTTTTTTCATTGAAAGCTTCTATCGTCTCCTTCCTGCCATTTTTTTACATGTTCCGGTAATGAAACAGATGCTTGAAAGTGTTCAGCCGTCCATACCTGTACAAATTTTGTAGCTAGCAGTCTTTTGCAAACAGTTGTATGGTCTTTCGCAAAGCACTCCTTATACCAATCTGGTCTGTGAGCAATACGCAAGTAAAATTTTGCACACAAATTATAGGGTACCCATGAGTGCGCTAGTGTGGGTAACAAGAGAAAAACTTTCGCTTGGCTGTGTGTATTTTATTCAACGGTCAGGTCTGAAACACTGGTTGGCTGCAAGCTGAACATTCATGTAGTATTCTCGTTGAGCAAATGTTATTTCGTGTATCATTACTTGCGATTATAATGCTTATAGATCCTTGCTGCCTTGCTTTGCAAATGACAAAAAACAATTCATGCTGTGGTGTCTAAAATGATTTCCTTCTTTAAGTATTGGGCGAGCAAGACATGGTACATTTATTTTCTGCACTGCTATCATTTTTCAAAACATTCATACTTGGAGCAGTAAATTGTCACTGGAAATTTAGGTGTAAGCGTGGACACCGTAATAGTATAAGTTTTATGTAAAAAGGCGTGTCTACAATAGAGCAACTCGACACTTATTTCGATCGGCTGATTGTGCACACTGCAACGACACAAACAGTCTGCCTATGGTCTCACGGAGGCTCCGTTCAGGCCTTGTTATGCCCACAGCCTTTATTTGGCCAATTCTCAATTGGAGTCACACTGGGGGGCACACGCAGTGACACCTACTAAATTTGCACAAAAAATTTGCGACTGCTTCTCATTTCCAGCCATTCTCTGGGCATTGCCATTGTCCCTTTTGGGTTGAGGGGCCGGGGGGTCGGGACAGACAAAGACAAAGCGAAGGAATGACTTTTGTGGAGTGCACAGGATGACCATTAAAGGAGCCCTCCAACACTATTCCACCCCTTGTGTTTTATACATGTGTTGTGTACACTGAAGTACACACTAATGCAGCAAGTTATTTGACTTAGAAAATTCAAAATACAAAAACCAGAGTGTGGACGCTCGACTCGATTTTCACAGGGTCACTTGACCGCATTTCACTTGCCCGTGTCTTCGGAAGGCTACCCCAACTAAATAAGCTGGAAGCGCCTACTCAGGGGAACTTGGCACCCCACTGTTGCTTTTTCTTTTTCAAAGTAATGTTGGCCTTGTTGCTACCATAATTGATGTCTTGCCTGACTTATTGCTTGCCAGAGCGTGAGTGAGAGCTACTGTGTCGAACCGAGGCATTTACTGCTCTTTTTTACGATATGCCAAGTCACTTTCTCCTATTCTAAGAAAGGCACTTGTGGAACCAGGACAGTGAAGTACTGTAGAGCCTTCGCGTGCTGTTAGATTAGCCACCCAACAAACATTGGTGCACTGCACCTCTTCTACAGTGCATGTGCAGAAGCAGATAGCTCGTATACTCAAGAAAGCTAGAAGAGGGAAGAAAGAAAAAGAGGTGCTTCGTATGGACATCTGACCCGCACAAGCTTAAAATCCAGTGCCGAAATGGCAGCCAGCATCTCTGTCATGCTTTGTAGTTACCGTGATCTTTTTTATTGTGTTTGCGTCTGTTCAGGGTTTGATGAAGAAGCACAGAGAAGAAAAATGATACAGATTAGTAACCTCAGTTTGTTCCTACATCACGATCGCTTCTAGCGTTACATTTATACAATCATATGGTGGCAACCTTCTAGTGTCATTTCCACCCACAAAGTTCAGGCGAGCGCCGCTACGTGGCAGTAAGGTCGGCAGCGATGTGTAGTTTGTTGCGTAATTAAAGTACTAAATCAACTAATATTGGCACTTAGATCTATGCAAAAATTATTTCCACCTATCGGTCTCTGCAAACCACAAATAAAAATAGCTTGTTCAATAGTGTTGGAGAACACCTTTAAGTAGTGTGTGAGGCCTTCTACCTCTGCCTAAGATCTCTATCTTAGTTGTTAGATTGAACAACACAGGCAAGTTTTTGCTCGACAATCGATCTTCTAACAATCTGTGGGCAACAAGTCTGCTAATACGCTTTGCTGGTGTTTTTGGTCTGCCATCATGTTACACGACGACAACGGGTTGTCTTTCGAAGCGTCGTTGTTTTCGGCTCAGTGTGACCAGATTGTCAGGTGCCATTGTCGGTGGGTAGCTCAGCCGATTGTCTGCGGTGGGGTCGTGTCAGCGTTGAGTCGCTGTTGTGCAAACACGCCCTAAGCAGACCAGTGAGTGCAAGCACATGTGTAAATATAACCATAAATACAGACAACAACGAACATCATGGTCTGCCTCAGCTTGTGCATAGAGATGCCATGGTGTGGACAGTTGCACTGTAAAATATTTAACATCTCTAACTTCTTGTTACATTGCCTTGAATAGTTCTCACAAGGATTGAGCCAAGCGGTAGTTCGGAAACTTTTTGAGGACATTGTTGTGGAAAGCTTCACCTCCTACTTCACTAAAGTGAGATTTTATCATAGCACATGTATTGTTAGGTCGAAGCAAGATATGCCCTTGCCAATTTAGCTATAAAGTTGCACTTTTTGTTTGCTTAGTGTTGTGCACAAGGGAAATGATTGGAAGTATCGCATATCATTGACCCTGCCACACTACTCAGGAAAACACTGTAGTTCTGTGCAAAAAAGCTGTGGGTGTAATGAATGCTCCTTTTTGTGCACTCAGAATTTCTCTAGCTGTCAGTATCTTTGAATTGGCACTCAAATGCCATGGTGTGCTCAAGTGTACATGAAAAAGCTTTCTCAGCTACTAGTGGCAATTAGGTGATCTAGCATTGAGTAACATCAGAGCATCTGTGCAGCTGCTGTGAGAAATGAGGCTCTGATGATAGCTGGTGCATTATCACCTACATTTGGCAAACTTTCCCATTGTTCATGAGGCAGCATTTTATTACTTCGCATGTGTGGTCTATCTACTTTCTCTCGCCATAAATGCTACCAAAAGCATGCCTCTGAACTAATGTTTTAGCTGAGCTGCATAAATGGCTAATTGGAATTAAAAAAATTTTCTTTTGTACTAGCAACTTGCTTTTAGCACCGAATCATTGTACACTCTCAATGAGATTGCTGTTTTGCCGCATGAAGAGTTATCACCTCACTTTCATAGATTTCTTTTGTCATTTTTAGATTTGTTGAATGTGTTTCTCTATGGAAATAAGTTCCTTTTTTCATGCTCCTTTTTGAGACAGGCAGGCAGAGAGAGAGAGAGAGAGAGAGAGAGAGATAGATAGATAGATAGATAGATAGATAGATAGATAGATAGATAGATAGATAGATAGATAGATAGACAGATAGATAGATAGATAGATGGATAGATAAATGGATAGATGGATAGATGGATAGATGGATGGATAGATGGATAGATAGATGGATAGATAGATGGATAGACAGATGGACAGACAGATGGATAGACAGACAGACAGATGGATAGACAGACAGACAGATGGATAGACAGACAGACAGACAGATGGATAGACAGACAGACAGATAGACGAATGGATAGATAGACGGATGGATAGATAGATAGATAGATAGATAGATAGACGGATGGATAGATAGATAGATAGATATAGATAGATAGATAGATAGATAGATAGATAGATAGATAGATAGATAGATAGATAGATAGATAGATAGATAGATAGATAATGTGTGTGTTTATGTTTTCTTCTTAGATGACCCTTTCTTGGACCAGGGAGGGGATGACCCTGAACTACCATGCCTGCAAGAAGACACAGCAGCTGGAATTGTTGTGCGACGCCATGTTATTCAGGCCATCCATTCATTGGCTGAGCAGATGGTATGGCAGCTAAAGTTTTCTTCAATGTACAATATGTATACAAAAAACTTTATCTCGTCATGTTGTCTTTGTAGCGGCCGGAAATGTCGGCTGCCGGAGGCAGCGAGAAAGGAGACGTGAAGCAGGTTTGGAGTTGCAGGGCAAGACTGTTTAGTTCCACTCCGTGCGAGTGACGGGAGCTCCCCTCGACGAGGGGGAGAATGAGGCACCCCCGCGTTCTTCTACAAGAAAGAGGAAAAGGGGGGACACCGAGCGAGCAGACGTAGCATGCAGCCGGTCTAATCCCCAGAGCCGGCCCCGACAACACGTTGTTCCCCGAACACGGAGGAGGAGGAGCTGGCGCCGCGAGTAGGCGCGCTGTCGACGGCCGGCTGCAGACGGGATAGAAAAGAATGCGGTGGTGCTTAGCAGCTTCCGCTACAAAGGCTCCCCCCTAGATTGCGGAGCTTTTAAAGAAGGACAGCAGTTACGGGCTGAATAGTGAAAGGTCACAGTCCAATGGTTAGCACTGAAATCGTACGTGAGAGGCTGCTTGAATGGAAACTTCAATATGAGCAGGCTTGGCGCGGTCAACGGCGACGACTTCTCGTTTCCCCGCACGTCGATTGCGATGGTTTTGTTAGTACGTCCCAAAACTTGAATGGGCCATCGTACGGCGGAGTAAGGGGCGGCTTCGTTGCGTCGTGTCGCACGAACACATGGGTAGCAGAGTCCATGTCAGGAAAGTGAAAACTTTCCTGTTGCGGGCGATGCGAGGTGCTGTTGGCCTGAGTTGCGCGAGCCATGTGCGCAGCTTCTCGATGTGATCGGAGGCTGTTGGGGCGGAAGGTGTCTGGTCAGTGTCAGATCGTAGCAAAAAATGAAGACTACAGGTTGATAATGCTACCTAAGCACTCCTGTATTTTTCTCTCTCTCTCTCTCTAACACACACACGCACGCACATGGGCACACACACACACACACACACCACACACACACACACAGGGGTAAATGCTTTGAATGCCTTTTTGGCACTTGTTGAGAACTGTTTGTCGCATTAGGGCTGATCTCGCATATTACCCTTTGCTGAATGTGAATTCAAAGGATAATTGCAAGCTAACACAATTTCAAAACTATCTGCATTCACTGCTCTTGACATTCATCGAGCTTAGATATCAAATATTCAACACTTCGGGTGACAACTGAAAGACATGAGGCAAAGACAAGATAACACCAGCACTCACTAACACTTGTAGGTGTGCACTTCTGGTGCTGCATTTGCCTTCTGCTACTGGTTGTTAGTGCTCTCCTTAAAAAAATTGTACCAACTTTTACCCTCCAATCAATCCTTCTAGGATATTTTATGAACTGCTTGTATCATTTCTTAGTCCTGAGTATGGACAGCAGCTGTAGGTTCATAATTATTAAAAAAATTCTTTGCGAAAGGGGCCTCAGTTTATGTTTCACTGCAGTAAATGAAAGTTTGAGCACTCATTGTTATGATAGCAACCTTTACTATCTTGAAGGCAAGTAAGAAAGTCATGCAAGACGAGTGAACGAAGAGAAATATACAGCTTAGAACTACGTTGTTACGCATAACGCGATTGCCAAACTCAAGAAATTGGGCTTCAGTCTCCGTAGTGACAATTTCGATTTGGCTATGCAGCACACAATTACATTATGGCGAAAGACTGCTGTATTTAGTGATTTAGTGTAAATATAGAAGTGGTTTTCACAGTTTTATGTGGCAAGTCTCGGCTAGTTTTACTGCCCTAGTCTGCAAGTGTTTTTTCTAATTTTTCATTTAGTTGGCCTGTTCTACATAGCGTGTTGCTGCTTATGCTACATAACTATACCATAAATTGATTTGGACTTGGACAAGACTATAAATAAAAGTAAAGAATATGTTAGGACATTATAACATAAAGAAAGTAAAGAATATGTTAGGACATTATTTCTTAAACCTGTTCATGTGGTCATGGAGAACAGTCGTTAGTTCAAAAGTACACAGACGAGACCTGAAAAATAAAGGTAGTTTGTTGCTTGTATTACAGTTAATTAAAGCGTTTTATTGCTAGATAAGAATTGCTTTTTCTCTGTGCACTTGATTTTCAGGAATCAAGTTTATGATCTTGGTGAGAAATTGAAGGAAGGTGCTTGCACCTGCTCAGATTATGCCTGTTTACCAACGAGATTGTGCTGATAAATGCTTCAGACTTGTATTCGTTAAAAGTGTTCCTTAGTGTATTACAGTAAAGAGGTGTAAGAGAAACAACTCAGGGATGGATGGTACGTCCACATTCAATTTCACATGACAACGCAAAATATCTGCCCATGCAGAGCTGGTTTCGGTAATGTTACCTCATTTTGATCAGCTTATGAAAGACAGCCAAAGCATTCACTTTAAAAAAATTAATTGTTTTCACTGTAATTTGGCACTACTCTGTTTCCTTCAAAACGAATTCTGTGCTTGTGCAGTTTAACCTGCGAAATTCTTTCCAGAGCCCTCACAGTGCGCTTTGAGCTCTGAGAATTTTTTCAATTTTCGAGTATGTGCTCGAAGAGTTCTTGTTCTTCATGAAATAGAAGGAAAAAAGTTATTATCACATAATTGTATCACCTGTGCACATTTATACATGCAACTGCCCTAACTACTATTTGTACTTTTTCCACGTTCCAGTAATAGCACTACATCTGGCACTTTATCGCCATGTGCTTTGTGGCGTTAGCAAAATGAACAGATAAATATGAGGGACTTTACGTCCCAAAACATCGATGTGATCACCTGAGACACCCTAATGGAGGATCATCTCGTGTTTTTCAACGTGCACGGAAATCGCACAGTACACAGACCATTACAATTTCGCCTTCATTGAAATGAGACAGCCGCGGCTGGGATCGCACCCGCGACCTTGGGATAAGCAGCCACCTACTCTAGCCACTGATTTTTAAGGGGGACAAAATTTACAGATTAACAACGACTATTAGTGATCAAGCGGGTTGTCCAGTGTACTACTGAGATTGATATGTACATTGAAATAGCTGGAGGACTTATATTGTATGCTCACTACTGGTGTATATGCACTTCAAGCTTTGTGCAGTACGCCCTGCTGTAGATCCTTTTTCTTGAACATGGAAATGTGTATTGTTAATTGCATTTTCAAAGCAATGTTCCCGAGTAGCCTTGCGTTTAGCGCTTCAGAGTTGTTGTTGTGGTCAGCAGTCAAAACTTTAACGCTCGGTGCGGCCACCCAGTAACTGCTAAGCCAGCAGAGTGTCATTTTTTCGTTTTTTTTACTTGATTGCCAAGGAAAACAGAAGCACAGCAATAATGATCTTGAGTAAACTCTGGACTGGGTACAAGAGTGAAATAAGAATTTCACTCCACCTTGTGTGCACATTTCTATGCTTTATCTCCTAAGTAATGTTATGCCACTGCCTGCCAGTCTTCTCCTAAAATAGACCGCGATGTACAAACTATGTATTTCATGTACTGTTCACCCCACTAAACCTCCTTACTATGTAAATAGTTACTCACTTGTGTAGCTGCGTGGTGCTGTCGCCGCCGTGGAGTGCTGCTGCAGCGCTGCTGTGGCTCACCTACATTTAAAATGACATAACACGACTTGTACCTAATGTTGCACAAAGTTCATATGCCAATTGGCGGTCACTAATTGCATGGTTGATGCCTTTAGGAGTACCAATATGGTTCAAATGGCATATACTGCAGTCGAATCTGCCTAGTGAAATCTACCTTAAGAAACGTGAACAGTCCTTCTTTCTATTTAACACAATCATCATGCATAACAGACAGTGTAGTGCCCTAACAATGATGCATGACAGTCTTTGTGGCCTCCACACAATGGATTTTCCAAGAAAGTGTTTGCACATGTATTATTGCAAAGGGTATGGCTTTTTCCTCTCAAGGTATTGCAATTTATTGCTTGAAAGCATTACACATTTATGTTTAACGTTATCTGCACTTTTCTATATTGTCACGTTTCTTAAGACAAACTTGGTTTAATGGGTTCGTTGAGTCGAGTAGCCAAGCAGCAGCACAGAGAGATCGTCGTTGTCTTCTTTCACTCCTGGATCTCAACCAAGCATATCATGTGGCAATAGTCCCCCCTTTGAAAGCATCGACTCGATGCTCATAAAAAAAAATGAAGGCATACACACGCGGATACAGAGAACTAAAAGAGGGAGAGTGCCAGTACTCGCAGCCCAAATGAGGAAATTTCGCCAATGCTTGCACCAAGCGCGAAAAGAAAAGGCATAAAAACACAGGAGAACACGAACAGCAGCAGCAGCACAATGTCACGGCTTGTCGCAACACGTGAACCACAAGGGCTACTGTGTGAAGTAGGGCTTGAGCCTAACGACATGCACGGTTTCGGGCCGAAGCTGTCGATGAGAAGGCGCTGCGCCATCCGGAAATACCTCGTATGTAAGATCTGTGACACGTCTAAGAACCTTGTACGGTCCAAATAACGGCTTAGGAGTTTTTCGGATAAGCCTGGTCGCCGAACAGGGGTCCACACCCACACTTGGTCCCCAGGGTGGTAGGTGACGTTTCGATGGCGGAGGTTGTAACGTCGTGCGTCTTCATCTTGTTGGTGACTGGTGTTTATGCGAGCTAGCTGACGAGCTTCTTCGGCGTATTGAGTGTATTGCTCAGCGTCTGGAGCGATTTATTGCTTTGGTCACACGGAAGCATAGCATCGAGCATGGTTCGCACGTTGCGTCCGTAAACGAGTCGGAAAGGCGGAAATCGCGTTGTTTTTTGCGTTGCCGTGTTGTATGCAAACGTGATGTATGGAAGAATTTCGTCCCAGGTTTTGTGTTGTACGTCAACGTACATTGACAGCATGTCCGCTATGGTCTCGTTGAGCCTCTCTGTCAGTCCATTCGATTGCGGGCGATAAGCCGTCGTTTTTCGATGACTTGTGCAGCTTAATTTAAAAATGTCCTCCATCATTCGTGCTGTAAATGACGTCCCTCTGTCCGTAATCACGCATGACGGGGCACCATGCCGTAGGACGATTGC